TCATACCATTTACTCATTTTGCTATAGGGAATGGGTGACTTGTGATCACCTCATATCCCCTTCTAATCTTAATCCCTATGCCAACATTGGGCTGGGACTGTCTGTCTTTCGATGCATTGGTCCAATCTTGGAGTTATGTCAGGCGGAGCGGGACTCTTTTGAGGTGTATCTCCTTTAGAGGCAGAGAGAATAGCTGATTCCTTCAATTGTCGTGGATCAACGTGTCCTCCAAGATCATCTCCTAATTTTAGATTGATGGCATTTAGCGTTATGTTTGGGCTAGTTTGTTAAGGAACCTGGTCTTGCCTCCTTTTTTGTTCCCTTATGTTGAAATCAAGGGGATTGCTTGTCCACTCTCTTCATCGAATATTTGCGGCTCAATTGGGGGAAAGTCGAGGATTCTGGTTTGTTTCCTCCTGCCGAGGTCAAAGTAGACGTAGTTACTGCAGTTATTCTTTTGCTATTAACAAGGTCTAGGAGGGTTATCTCTTGCCCTGCCCTTAGATTTATCCAGGGGCTCTTGAAGCGAGTTCTCCTGTCCTTGGTGAAGTCTTTTAGTTACGTACTTTACGAGAGTTGTAGAGGTATTCGTTATGATATGCAGAGATAAGCCCTTGTAACAACACGGCTTTCCCATCTCCTTACACCTTTGGGAGAGGACTCGAACTGCTCTTTGTTGGGATAGCATCTCCCTAACCATCATATTGGATTGCTTTTACCATCTCCCTGTCTGACCATCATATTGGATTGCTTTTAGGGTAGTATGGTATGGCTGGAGGGGACTGAGAGCCAAATTCATGGGTGACTCGACGTGGGTTATCCCCTAATATACTTCCCATTGGGGGGTTCCACTTCCTTGGCCATCTTATGCTCCAACATCTAGGATTTTGGAATCATGACTTCAGCGGGCTTTATCTTTTGACAAACTACAAGTTTCCCCTTGACGTTTTCCTCTAAATATACTCCTTCGAATCTTGAGGCACTACTGGTGATTGGTGTCTGTGTTCACTGCCCTATCGCACACCTTCCACGTCACCACTCACCACTATATTCACATATCCTTCCAACATATTGTATACATCGGTCCTCATTTGGAAGCGGAGAACTTGATTCAAATGTTGATCCTGAAGCAAGATCGTGAAGTCGGGGAATATGAAGAAACTGATCTGTCATTGGGCCGTGGACGCTCTACAGCTCCAATGAGTGTGTTGTGGTGGCTATCAACGACACAGACCAAGACCGGGGAATTGAGATTGTCTCATGTGAGAATGGGATGGTCTTGTTTTTCATTAGCCATTTTTGCAAGCAACAGACATCCTATTATTGACTCGATATAAGACAACAGATGATGATATGAGGATGTTGCACTAATAGTCGAGCAAGACTTATATTCCCATAGAGGCAGATCAAATAGATGACGGACGCAATACATGAGGACTCAGAGAGACTCTCTACCTACTGCCCCCCCCCCCCCAAAAAAAACTAAAATAAAACGGTTTCGACATAACTCAGAGAATCAGCCGGATCGGTTGGTTTCAGCATAAATTTTGTTTTTCAAAAATATCTAAAAGTAGTGTTCTTTGAGTATCCAAAAACATTGGGTGTTGTGCATTATGTTTTATAAAAATATGTGAATATTAAGATGCAGTTCCCCTATCTAAATGTCTATTTTGATTATTACATTCATATAACTAGGAAAAAGAGCTTACAATCATCATGGGTATCAATACATAGGCCAAAATAGAGCATACTACAACTGAAATACAAACCTAATGCCAAAATAAAAGACTGTGGTGTTCTTCCTCTTCATCGTGTTTAGTTCGCCTGAAATCTGGATGAATGTTTCAAGGATTTCCTTCTTTATAGTGAAGAATCATTGAAGAAAATAAAATACATGAAAAAAACAACTAAACTAAACTGACAATGTGCATTCTCATGTCTTGAATAAGGATTTAAGGCTGGCTATTTGACAGCAAAAGCGAATGGTCAATGGTGCAAATGTATATTAACATGGGTACAATACCATATTTTTTTCATATCAACAAAATTATATTGACGTAAGTTTAACGTAATTATATTAAGTTACTAACATTAATAAACAACAACAATTTCAATATGATTAATGTAATTTTTATAACTAAATTATATGAAATTTCTTTTACTTGATTATATGTAATTTAAACTTAATTATATGTAATATTATTGTTTATGTAAATTATAAAAAAGGAAAACAAAAATCATTAATCTAAAAGATTTAAAATAAGCTTCAATTAAAAAATCCTTCTATATTATCTCAAAACCTTTAATATGTAAATTACACAAATTAAAAGAGGAAAAAAATTGGGAACCCTAAAAGAAGCCAAAAATGCATGTTTTGAGGCCCTCGACTTGCATGGAAAGAGGTTTCAAACCATAAATTTTCTGTAGCAAATATGTAGAGGGATGAATGAACATCATTATGGATCAAATTTGCACAAATTGGATCCAAACACGGTTACAAAATCAATGAAATGGCAGATTTTGCCAAAAAGGAAAAACATTTCTACGACAACTAGCAATCTTGAGCGAAAAAAGTTATGAGAAAAAAAATTATGACAATAACAATTCAGATCTGAGTTTCAAACAGTAGAGGAACCTTTTCAGATAAAAAATGATAAATAAGTTTCACAATGAAAGCACGCAAGGATCTTTCATCTTTGGTCGAAGAAACAAAAATCTCCGAAACCCCAAATAAAATTTTTTTGGGTTCGATCCACCATATTGTGCTGCTTTTTATCACCAATCAACAACAAAATCTAGTACTAGCGTAGCCAAAAACCATTTAAAAACATTTCAACAAAAACCATGAAGAAATCGAAGAGCAATTCGATCTCTGGTGGAGTGCTCTGAGAAACCGGCAAAAACCGTTTATTTTTCGTCACAACAAACCGTAGAAAAGAAAATACAAAATTCTAAATTAATGTACCTGAACCTATGTGGATCAATAAACCATTTCAATTTGAATAAATATGACTCCAAACATGATCTGTGAGTCTTTCTTTGTAGATCTTGAGCTTTTGGACCCGAAAATATTTGGGCTTGATCCATGCTGCTGTGTTTGTTTTTATCACCAATCAACAACGAAATCTAGTACTAGGGTCTCGAAAGACCATTTTAATAAAAATTACAACAAGAACAGTGAAGTAATAAAAAATAAATTCAATTTGTGGTGGACTGCTGATAAACTAGGAAAAAACATTGATTTTTCACCAAAAAAATTGAAAAAAAAATGGGGAAGCGATTTCTCTTTTGATTTTTTGATCATCAAACATTGTTTTTATAGATGAAAAGGCATTATTGGGATCAATTATTGATCCCAATATTGCTGCAAAATGGAGATTTGAACAACAAAAAGGAGAATGATGGGTTGCAAATTTTTTTCGGTGGATTGGCGATTCTACTGTAGCGAATCACCGATTTGCAACAGTAGAATTGGTGATCCAGGGGGTGAATCGGGTGAATCCTGATGTATGTGGGGATCCGATTTGAACAATGTGAAATTCTATAAGGATCGGCGGTTCCCATCCAGATTGCTGATTTTTAAACCTTGCTCCCTCCTTTGTAGGTTACTTTTTCAGAGGGCTTTGTCCATACAGGCTACCTGCACCCTTGGAGGAATTGAGGCCTTATTTGGGCAGGATAAGGCTTGCCTTATGCCAGGGGATGATAGGAGGAGATGGAAATGAATGCTTCTCTTGGTTCCTTGCCCAAAGTGTGGAAGCTATATGTCATACTGTTATTAGGAAGAAGAATGGCACTCGAACAAAGTCTGTTTGGTCTTTTTGACTGCCACTCATCATTCCTTTTTACACTGAGAATCTCCACTTGGAAACCTTTGAGCCCCTAAATTGAAAGCTTGGAACTATTTTGGCAAGCTTGAGTAGGCATTACATTGTTTTTCTAGAATAGGCTTTTCAATTTTCAAAATGACTTATTTCAAGGATGATTCATAAACTAATCAGAATATTGCTTAATAGCCGTTCAGCTTGTTCATACATGAGAGAGCTTCTTGAACTGGTTTGTCTAAGATTTCTGAGGACCCTGTAAAATGAACAGGTAATTCTGTTTGTGCATGAAAAGTGATTCCAAACTACCTGAATTCAACAAATTTGCTATTGAACCTTTTTATCCATTGAGATCATATGTGAGGGGCTTTGTGGTCATTAAATTAGATCTATTTGGTCTAGCTTGGGTTACATTGGGCATGACAGCTGAGTTAACTTCTGATTTATGTCCGCCTCCTGTGGCCATTATATGTAGTGGCAGTGCTTTGGGGCACGTGAAAGGAGTGGAATAACTGGATTTCAGAGGTGAAGTCCAGGAGGTCATATAGTTGAATATTTGTGATAAGGTAATCATTTGGGCCCTTCGGAGGCTGGAGTTTTGTGGATTGGGCTGTGGATTACCTCAATAGACTAGAGAATTGTGGCTGTCATTGGCAACCATGCTGACACCCAGCTTGGGGTCGCTTCCTCGTCCTGTGAGGACTTCAAAACTTAATTTCATGGGCGATTTACACCTACCGATGCCGTCTGGCAATTTGGTTTGAGGATATTAGGGAGGACTTCAGCTCAGGCTGATGGTTGCTGTTTCAACGTGTGAGAATAGAAGCGACACTTTGGCTAATGGGGGCAGTGATAGGAGTTTTTTATTTATCATCATTGAGAGATTGCCTTAGCAATCTCTTCATCATCATCATCATCATCGTTTTAACCTTTTCTCAATTATTTGGGGTATGTTGCCTTAGTATCTCCTCAATAGCTGTTTTTTTTTAAGGCAATGGTCTTTCTATATCAATAGAATTACAGTTACTGATAACAAACTAGAATAAAATAAAATTTGCAATCCTGTTTTTTGGGTTAATGTAGCCTGGATTCTTTTTAGTCTTGATGTTATTGATGCTCATAATTATGATCTATTTCACGGTAGGCGTCATGATTCTCTTTGTGCGGCTTTTGCAGGTGATGCCCAAAATTGCACATCCCCTGAAGCAGTTCACAAAGTGAGACATCAAATTATAGAATATATGGACTTGTGGCTCTCGCAATGCCATGATACAGGTCGGAGTTCCATATAGTTAGTATTAAGGCTGTGGGATCTTGAAACAAATTTTGCCTTTGTTCAATAAATTATTGTGCTATGGACTCTTCTGAGTTGTATTATTTTCTTCACGTATATACTAGCTGATTGTAGGTTTTTATACTTCAACAGATGCATAATATAGCATTTACAAAAAGGATCAGGAATAACAGAAGGTGATTGTCATGTGCTTTCCCTGTTCTATCAAATGGCAAACTTGTGTGCTTTGTGTAAATGCGTTATCTGTATTATTCTAATAAATGTAAAATGTGCCATCTTTTATTGTAATAAATGTAAAATGTGTAAATTTGTTATTATATTAAATATAAAGTTATGCTGTTTTATAAAATAAAATCCACAGATATCACTTGTAGTACACACACATACAAACATATATGAAATTGGAGATGAGTGTATATGGAGTTGTAACAAGAATGCACGTGTGCTTGGGGGGGCACGTGGTTGATGCACTTGTGCGCATATTTTAACATGTACAATTACTCATAACATCTATAAATGTGTGTCAATATTGGTTGGTTGAGGTTTGTATAATGTGCACATGTTATATTGTACAAGGAGTGCACTTCAAAATTTTGTCCGAAGATGTAGTTCTGGTGTTAGGAATCTTATGATGACTTGAAAATCTATGTTGAATTGTGATTATAAAATTTTAAATTTCAAAAATATTGCAGTTCGGGGAGATCTATAAACAATAAAAAATTTGAAAATGGATGGTTTAGATAATTTATTACTAAATGTACTATTTTTAGGACTTGCAATTATTTTTTCTTTATTGTATAGATTAAGACATTTTTTTTTCAAGATGATCGATTGAAAGATTTTCCAACTTATAGACACTATTTTTTGGCTGGATTTTTGAGGTGCACCTTCTATAGTATAAGGCCTTGCAAGTTTTATAGAGTATGGTGATATAACTGCCTCATATATTGATTGGTGGGGGGCTAGATCGCCCATTGTGATTCATGGTGCAACTAATTAATGAACCCTACTTGTCTTCAGGAGGCAAGCAACACGCCATGTTGGACAACAAGGATCCAAGAAATTCTCTTTTTCACCTGTCCTTTTAAAACTTGGATATTGTTCCGCTTGATTTGGATTACTAAAAATTACTTTTTTTATAAGGAAAAAGTTTATAGGAGGTTACAACTGTAAAATGTAGAATTAACGTGCACCTAAGAAATTCATCGGAAAAAGCTGTTTTAATGTTGAAACCAATTAATCATCTCTTCATCGAGATGTATGAATATAAAAAAAAAAAAAGATTTCGAGTTTCAAAAATACATCTTGCAACACATTGTCTGGACTGGCAATTTTGAAGAGTTTTATGTTTATAGATCTACTTCAACCATTTTAGGTGTTCAAAATTTTATAATAAAAATGAAAATAAATTTTTAGGCCATCTTTAGAATTTTTGACACCAAAATTACATGTTATGATAAAATTCGGAGGTGCCTTAATTTGATTGTTTAAAGTTGCAACCTCATGCAAACCACTCCTTTTTTATATTATCCACAAAAGCAGCTAAAGTTAAAGATTGAATATGGATTGGGAGAGACGTTGGAATGGCACATTAGTTTGCCTGCAGGTGTCAAGTTTTGGAGTTAGAGAGCACCTATTTTTGGTTAGTCCAGTGAGAAAAGTGTTTCCAAGTTATGATAGGAATAGAACGTAAGATGTCATGTTGTACTACATATCACCATGATCACCTATGCCTTGCACATTTGACTAAGCATGTGAGGGCTCAATCAAATTACGCTTTGATGATGCTTGATGGTGAAAGATCAGAATGGATACTTCTAGTGACCGACTTGGGTCCAAGTGGTACATGTTTGGCTAATGCTGTGGTGGCAAGGGCAATGCTACAGAGCCTTAAATTATTGGGTGCTATTCGAATCAAGGTCCAAGTTGAAGGAGATTCCTTGAATGCTATTCGAAGATGTAGGTGGTCTAGAGGTGATTGGAGGCCTGTGTGGGCCGTCACACCTTCTATAAGATCATAGATTGTTGAGGAATGGGGAAGTGCAATTCTTTTATGTATGGAAAAAATTTATATAAGGTTATAATTTTAAAATGGTGAATTAAGGTGCATCTCAAAAATCCATCATAAATTGTTGTTTTAATGTTGAAAAATCCTCTAATTGATCATCTCGACATTGAGATATATGAATATAAAAAGAGAAAAATATTTTGAGTCTTAAAAATTGTGTATCTTGTAACATATTGTCTGTATCGTCCATTTTCAAGGTTTTCTAGTGTTTACGGATCTACTTGATTTGAATCATTTTTGGAGTATAAGATTTTATAGTTAGAGATGAAAATAGTTTCTCAAGCCATCCTAAGAAATTTTGACACCAAGATGATATTTATGATAAAATTTAGAGGTGCGTCTTAATTTGATTGTTTAAAGTTGCATAAAATTAAAAAAGATGAAAAAGAAAACATGTGAGAAGCGAACTTAACTTTCTCAACAACTTTTTGCTTCCAATTTATGGTGTATTTTTGACATACAATGCAGATAAATTCACCAACTACTTGATGACAACACTCAGAGAAACAACTAATTGTTAGTGTAACATATGGAATTACTGTTTCCTCTAAACTAGCGTATCTGAAGATATGACATTTAATTTTTTAATTTTTTAATTTTTTTATTTATTTTCCTCTTGGCTTAGTGGTGAAACCACACTCTAACATCAAGGGATCCAATACCGCCACATTCCCACTCAAGATAAAATAAATAAGAACTTGGTTGCACATTCATTCAAACTGTTGGTCGGTTTGTAAATAGTCTACCAACTTTTGTCAATTACTCTACTACTTCTTGAGAGTGAATTTGTCAACATTGCACTATCATCTGTAAAAATCCAGTGCTTAAAAACCCGAGCTTGTGCACTGATTCTATAGCCAGTGCTTAAAAACCAGAGAGAGAGAGAGAACTTGCATAACAGCACAGAAGGAAGACACATAAAAAACATTGAAGAAAGCAAAAACAGGGCACCCTAAATAAGACATACCAATACCTTATATTGAAAGAGAAGCCAATTCGCAAAACAAAAAATTGCAAAAAAATACCTAAAAGATGAAGAAGAAAACATGTGAGAAGCGCAGAGAGAGGGAGAGGCACAAGTTATTCGTACCTCTGCGTGGCGCAAAGAGAGGGAGAGAGTGCACTGAACTTGGATTAAGAGAGAGGGAGAGGCAATTCGCAAACCATAAAATTGCAAAAAAATACCTAAAAGATGAAGAAGAAAACATGTGAGAGGCACATAGAGAGGGAGACGAGCAAGTTATTCGAACCTCTGAGTGGCGTAGAGAGAGGGAGAGGCGCACTGAGATTGGATGAGAGAGAGGGAGAGGCTCTGGTTTAGAGAGAGAGGGAGAGACATGCTCGTCTTGCTGTGAGAGAGAGAGGGAGTGGTAGCAGGTAGTAGGTAGACCTGCATCTTTGTATACCAGGCGGGCAAGCTCCATTTTTATATAGAAAAGCGCTTGATTTCGCCTTTTTGAATGGGGCCGTCCATTTTCTGCGAGTTCATCGGAGACGTTGGCGCACCGAAATGCAATACGCGACGGGGCGTATGTAATCATTTGCTTTTATATATGTATATATATATCTTCCTCTTGACTTTTTTACACCTATGTGTGTTGAACTCAAAAGGATCACCATTAAATTTGACACAGATCTCTAAAAAAGTCACCCATATATAGAACCAAAAATGATCACCATTAAATTTGACATAGATCTCTAAAAAAATCAAGTCCGACACCTATAGGATAACTTTTCTAAAGATATGTGCCAAATTTAATGGTGATCTTTTAAAATCCTACATATATAAGTATAAAAAAATCTCATAGGATCATTACTTTTATATATATATATATATATATATATATATATATTCTAGAGACGAACCCAATGGATAAAGGGTTATGCTTTTTATGCCTTCCAATGATAAAAAAGATGTTTATTTATTTGTTGAGAATGGGGTTAGGGTCGTGGTAGTACATCCACTTGTGCCCCGGCTAAAGTTTAAGCTTCCATTCTCACTTAACGCATTAAAAAATCACTAACAATTTAAAAAACGAGTAAGAGCTCGTCATCCCCATTGAATAACAAAAAAAAAAAAAAAATACATCGCTTTTCTTCATTTATAATAACTCCCTTGCTAGAGTTGGTTGGGCATCTAAATGGGGCCTAATTAGAGAAATCCATGATTATAGCTTATCTATAAATGCATTGCCCCCGTTTGTCTCTCTCTCCGGCACGAGCATAAAATGGAACATCTATGATTACTCCCCTCTTATCAGGTAAAATCCTGTCTAGGAGACCATATGCACTGTGTAGGTGCCTGAAAACCTGGTATTGAGTAGAGACTATCCAATTTTTGTTTGGAAATACTTTATCTCCTGATTTTAATATGGATCTCAAAATTTTGTTATAAAAATCTTCCCAATCAGGTCTTCTACACAAAGGAGAAAATGTACAGTAAGCCCGCATGGGACATGGTATATAAACTCATAAAATATACAAAAGAACGAGAAAATTGTGGATGCCTCATTGAAATGTGACATCCAACTCCTTGTGAATATGTGTTAGACCGGTCTTCAAAAGCTATAAGCCAATCTAACATATTTTTTGCCGGACTGCATTTTTTGTCATGTTCTTCCAGTCCGATACATTTTTTGTCGGACCGTGGCAAAAACAATGAAAAAATATGATCCAGCACAAAATTATACCTGACTAGTAGTGTGGCTTTTGGAATTCGAAGCTTGAAGCTGTTCCAACACACTTTTGTATCTGAACGAAAGAGAATCTAGCGATCTGATACAAAAGTGTGTTGGATCGGAATTTGGCTTCAAATTTAAGAAGCCTCACCATCGGTGCAGCACACTTTTGTGTCGACCGCACTTTCCCATTTTGGGCGAAGAGAGAGAAAGAGAGTTTGAACAAGTGAGGGAGGATTGAAAAGGTAGTTTAGTATTTAACATATTAACTTTTTGATTGGGATAAAAACAAGGAAAAACAGTAATTGGATTAAAGGTGTGATATAAAAAGTATCGAAGAGTTGGATGTCTAAAAAATAGTCGATATTCATAATTATCCCTAAAAAAACAAGACATGAAATAATGATCCAAGTTATCTGATTCATCAATAAACTGCACAAAAAAATGAAAGATCTGTCGAAATGCCTCCCCTCCCTAAACCCTCCCAACCCTTCCAAATTTAAACAACCAACCCAATGCAAAATAAATGGTTCGTTGGTGACCAATTTAAACCTACAACATGAAACCTCTACCTTCCTCCTTTTTACCAGTTTACTATGCTCTCTCTCTCTCTCTCTCTCTCTCTCTCTCTCTCTCACACACACACAAATTTACTAAAATGACATACTCTTCTTCTCATCTGAACCTAATTCCCAACTGCATATCCAGACACCCCTTCACACTCAATGCACCTCCCACCTGCTGAACTTGTTTTGACTTTCTTTTAAAGAAGCAGTATTACTGCCTCCCAACAAGCCATGCCCTCTTTTGCTGTAGTTTATTTATCAAATCCTTTAGCTTTGTGTATAAAAAGGAGGCCACCTTAGCCTTGGTGTCCTCCAGCCATTTCACCCACAGCTTCTCTTTATTCCAATACCATTTTCTTTTTGCAGGAAAACGTCATCTCTTTATACAGCAGAAATGGTGCAAGAGAAACCATGTAATGCCGGAAAAACTGCCATTTTAGCCCTTGGAAAGGCCTTCCCCCACCAGCTTGTAATGCAGGAATTCCTTGTGGATGGCTACTTTAGGAACACCAAATGTGATGATCCCGAGCTCAAGTGCAAGCTCTCCCGCCTCTGTAATGACATTAGATGAAATGCAATTGTGTGTGTGTGTGTGTGTGTGAGAGAGAGAGAGAGAGAGAGAGAGAGAGAGAGAGAC